CCCCAAAACCCCAAAACCCCAAAACCCCAAAACCCCAAAGAAGGCTTGTGGAGTTGAAGCAAATCTTTAATATTTACTAATTCCTAATTGGAGATATTTCTTGTCGTCATTTTTCTCGATTTCTTTCATCATTTTCTTTCTGTTGATCATTTGGTCAGAAATTTCTCTGATATCTTCCATCTGCTGCATGCGTTTTTTCTCTTTTTGCCTAAAAAATTTAGCATGCAAATTACATTTGATCTGTATAAGCCTTGATATAAATTTTGTCTTGATATCTAAATAAATTAGACCTTCAGATACTGTTCAATCTCCCTGTCCTCTTTCAACTCTTTGTTCCTATAAAGCTAGCTAACGAATCTACTTCTTTATTATCGGATCCACAGAAGCTTGATTCTGTTTATCTGAAAACTCCTGAATCTTTTCCTTTCTGTAACTAAATTCAATTTCCCTCTTCTTTTCATAATTGTCAAGATATTCTTGGAATTTCTTGCTTCCTTAAAGAATAAAATTATATGAAATACCTTTAATCTGGCCTTGCTTCCAGTCATTCTTCTGCTTTCTGACTTTCTCAGCCTCACTAAAGGTTCAGCTCCCAGCACTTACTCCTTATTGAACTTAGAGATGTTATTAAGCCTTATCTGAAACTTTTTCTTTTGTATAGTTTCCTTCATAATCTGGTCTTTCTCCTTCTTAAGTAGAGCTTTTATCTTGAGAGCATCCTCTTTCTTCTCCTCCTCTTGGTTCTTCTTCTGTAATTTCTCTATTAGGTCAATACAAGCTGGATACTTTCATCGATTTGTTTATCCATGAATGCCTTGAGTTCATTTCTTCTCTGAAGCTTAGCATACTTTTGAGCCTCTTGTTCTTTCTCATATTTCTCCGCATCTGTGGATAAGGAAGAATCTTACCTTGAAGCACTTGGTTCTCGAAATATAACTTCTCATTATTCTCTTGCTTCTTCTGTCTTTGTTTGTCAAGAACTTATCTTTCTAGGTTTGTCTGAAATTGCAATTTCTTAGTTATGTCCTCAACTGTGGGTTACTCTCAGCTCCTTACTTGGCTCATTCTTGATTAGTGATTTCGTTGGCTTTTCTTTTCTTTCATCATTTGGGATAAATTCTTAACATTGTAGTATTTTGCCTTCTGGTAGTCGCTCAGATGCATTATCTTCTCCTACAGAAAGATTGATATCTAATAATTCTAAGTGAGAAAGAAAGCTTAGGTACTCTACTGCTGAGTTGTCTTTCCTGCTGCATCTTTTTAATAGGCAGCAACTTCTTGACAGTATCATAATAGATTTAATTGCTGAAAGATATACATTGATACTTTTGCTCTATTTTTAGGCATGAATTGCTTCTGTTTCTTCACAGGTTTCTTAGAAGAAGCTAACAGCTATTTTAAGTCAAGTTCCATTTGCTTAAAATTAGACATGACTGTGCCATCTAAAGGGTGAATAGGGAATTCTTACTTGTATTCTTTTTGCTCAAATACCAATCAATTTCTCTGATGAGGATGCCATTGTCAGGATCAATGTTAAACTTTCTACTCAGCCTTGTGATCAAGAGACTTCTCATCTTATTCGTGATATTATTGTTTCTGACTGGTTGAGTCTCGAGGCTAAAATGTAAGGACAGACCATACCTAGGGTATTTCTGGATCGTAACTTGTGAGTTCTGTCTCTGATGTCTCAATAGAGGCTTCCTTCCAGTCAATATTTGATACATTTTTAGTTTCTTAATTTTTTTATAATAATTTTGGGGTTTTGGGGTTTTGGGGTTTTGGGG